TTAGGCCTAGGAACTTCAAACTTGGTATGGTGATTGGTCATGACCAGCAGATGACCCTACTGATTTTGGGGTTAAGGGGTCAAGGGAAAGGTCACATTGACCTTGTAGGTAAAAATGCTTTCCGATCAATAACTTAAGAACCCTTAGGCCTAGGAACTTCAAACTTGGTATGGTGATTGGTCATGACCAGCAGATGACCTATTGTTTTTAGGGTCAAGGGGTCAAAGGTCATGTAACATTGACCTTGTAGGTTAAAACGGTTTCTGATCAATTAACTAAAAACGCTTAGGCCTAGGAACTTCAAACTTTGTATGATGATTGGTGGTGACCAGCAGATGACCCCTATTGAGTTTTGGGTCAAGGGGTCAAAGGTCAAGGTCACATCGACCTTGTAAGTAAAAACGGTTTCTGATCAATAACTTAAGAACGCTTAGGCCTAGGAACTTCAAAACTTGGTATGGTGATTTTTCATGACCAGCAGATTACCCCTTTCGATTTTGGGATCAAGGGGTCAAAGGTCAAGGTCCCATTGACCTTGTAAGTAAAAACGGTTTCTGATCAATAACTAAAGAACACTTGGGCCTAGGAACTTCAAACTTGGCATAATGATTGGTCATGATCAGCAGATGACCCCTATTGATTTTGGGGTCAAAGGTCAAGGTCACATTGACCTTGTATGTTAAAACGGTTTCGGATCAATAATAAAACAACCCTTAGGCCTAGGAACTTCAAACTTGGCATGGTGATTAGTCATGACCAGCAAATGACCCCTATTGATTTTGGGGTCAAGGGGTCAAAGGTCAAGGTCACATTGACCTTGTAAGTAAAAACGGTTTCTGATCAATTAAGTAAAAACGCTTAGGCCTAGGAACTTCAAACTTTGTATGATGATTTGTCTTGACCAGCAGATGACCCTTATTGAGTTTTGGGTCAAGGGATCAAAGGTCAAGGTCATGACCAGTAGATACTTGATAACCCTTATTAATTGTTTGATCACTGGGTCAGAAGTCATGCATAATTACCTTATCACATGAATAATTGGCTGCTGATAGGGGGCATACATGTTTTACAAACATATCTTGTTTTTATTTTCTTCCGACTTATGAAATATGATGTATGGTGTGATTGGGTTTCTATATGTATATATGTACTGTTATCCTTGTCCAGTCAATTTGTTGATAATTTTTAAGCTCTGGTTTATGAAGGTTTAAATGCAGATATGAAATATTAACCTTTTCTTTTAAGAATCGATATCTCTCTAAATTCTAAATGTTTTTAATCATTCTTATCACAGTCAGAAAATATAATTTATGTTCAAAAACTTAGTATTAGCAGTACATGTATTTATATATTCACTGTTTCACATGAATTAAATTTTGTGTATGTTTGCATCAAGTAGAATATATCCGCTATATTTCTAAAAGTTGAAAGTACAGTAAAAACTCTGAAAACCGGACCCTGTCCGGACTTGACCAAAAGTCCGGTTTTCAGAGGATTCCGGTTTTCAGAGGTTTTATACATTTATTGATAAGTATGATGTTTTTGAACAATGACTTTGTTCAATCATTTTGTATTTACTTTTCAACCCTTTTGTCTAAGTCACATTATAATTTCTTTTTACACTGAATGTCTTAATTATTTTATTCTGCAAATCCATGAATATAATTCAGAAAATCAGAAAGTAAAAACACATTGTCTGAAATATATCATAATACCTTTTTCATTGGCTTTGAAATATGTAGTTAATGAATTTTGTATTACTATTTTTGCATATAATTGATATCCAAACAAAGATAACTTCAAAATCAAAATTTAAAGCAAAACAGGAATCATTTATCCAAAGTTTCCCAACTCTTTTAGATATTTTATAGTTGGAAAAAAAACAACATAACACACTAAAAACAATTTTTAAAAATCATATCTATGCAAGGAAAGACACAAATTCAATAAAAGAGCTATAATTTAATTGACAATAAGAAATTAACACATACTGACAAGTGTTTTCACACCTGCATAGATAAAAGGAGATTACCATTTACTGGTAATTGGACATGTCACCTGTTGAGATTATGTTAGATCTACATTTAAGTACACAGAAAGTTGACACTTTAATTTGCTGTCCGGTTTTCAGAGGATTTTTTAAGCATGTTTAGCATTAGAAGCCACAGAAAAGCGTCCGGTTTTCGGAATTCAGAGGTTCCGGTATTCAGAGGATTTTTGTCAATGAACATATAGGGAGAAAATACGGGACTTTTAAAATGGTCCGGTATTCAGAGGATTCCGGTATTCAGAGGGTCCGGTTTTCAGAGTTTTTACTGTACATACATTGTATATTTTAATTTGACATATTTCAAGCTTGTAAATTATTTTGCCTTTTTTAGCTCACCTGAGCACAAAGTACTCTTACATGAGCTTTTGTGGTAACATGTTGTCTGTTGAATGTTTCTCATCATCCGTCATTTGTCCTTATCCACAATTTCTTTAAAACATCCTTTCTTTTTCACATGATGAATTTTGATCAAACTTCACAGAAATATTCTTGTGGTGACCCTCTACAAAAGGTATATGTGTATATAAATTTTCCAGTCTAATGCACCAGAAGGTCACAGAAGCTAGGATAAAAAATGATGATAAAATGAACTTTTTATGCCCCCGGGCATATAGTGATTGAACCGTCCGTCCGTCTGTCCGTACTAGGTTAACCTAGAACTGCAAGTTGGATTTTTCTTAAGTTCTACCTGTACCAATGGCTTCTAAGTTTACACACTTACTAATCAATACAAAGTACATGACCTGGGCAAGTTACATAACTCTGGCTTTCATATTTACCAAGTTATTGGCCCTTTTCAGCACTTAGAAAATGAATAATGGTTAACCTAAAATAGCAAGTTGGAAATATCTTAAGTTCTATTATACTAATGGCTTTATAATTTCACACTTACTTATCCATACAAAGTACATGATATTGCCAAGTTTATATAACTGTGTCATCCATATTTCCAGTTATTTCCCTTTTTTTCACTTTGAAAATAGGGCCTTGTCTTGGTTAACCTATTTCGGCAAGTTTGATTTATCTTAAATTTCTCCTAAATTGCTCTAATTTCTTTAATGATATCTTTCATATTTAGTAGGTGGATACCTTTGATGGTCCTCTGTTTTTTTGTGGAGTAAGCGGTCTCTAGGTCAAGGTCAAGGTCTATGGTTTGAAAAATAAATATAAACATTTTTGCTCATATAGCCTTTAATTTTAGTTGATGTTTTAGTTTAATACAAACATGCCAAGGGAGGTCCTCCTTCTTTGGGTGTAGTAAGGGGTCATTTTGGGTCAAGGTCAATTGTTACCAATGTCAAGGTCACCAATTGTTAAAAATAGATTTTTACATTTTTACAGGTGTATTGAAACCTTATACTATAGACAGATGTATTTATAATTGATAGAAACATAAACTTTGATGGAGTTAGTGGGTCAGTTTTTTTTGGGGTCAAGGTCAACAGTTGCTAAAAATAGATTTTTACACATTTGTTCATTACAGCTTTTATTAAGTGACAGATTATAAATTTTATATTTGGGTAGGGGGAAGATACATTGCATGGTCATCCTTTTGATTGGGGTAGGGATCATTGGGTCAAGGTCACTTGTTCTAAAAATAGATTTTTAACACTTTTGCCCATACAGCTTTTATTTATTGACAGATGTATTTCATATTTTGGTATTTCATTTTTGGTAGGAAGAATAACTTGCATGGTATTCTTCTTTTGGATGGAGTAAGGGGTCAGTTGGGTCAAGGTCAAACCAGTGCAAAATTAGATTTTTTTACAACTTTTTGCCAACATCACCTTTTATTTTATTGGACAGATGTATTTTCATATTTGGTTAGGAAGAATAACTTGCAATGGTATTCTTCTTTTGGATAGAGTTAGGGGTCAGTTTTTGGTTTAAGGTCACCAGTACTAAAAAATAGATTTTTTTCACTTTTTGCCATTACAGCCTTTATTTATTGACAAGATGTTTATTTCATATTTGGAGGAAGATAACTCTTACATTTGTATTCTTCTTTTGGAATAGAGTTAGGGGTCAGTTTGGTTAGGGTCACCAGTGCTAAAAATAGATTTTTACACGTTTTGCCCATACAGCCTTTATTTAATGACAGATGTATTTTCATATTTGGTAGGAAGCTAACTTGCATGAAAGTTGAATATTTTTCATCTTCACAAGTCAGAGCAATGACTTGGCAACTTATATTTTTTACAATTACAAAATGCTATGACTTTGTCAAGCTATATAACTTGTGTTTACAATTTTTGGCAATTTTTCTGTCCATAACTGAGTGAATGGGTAAACATTTTTTGAAATATTGCTACTGACAAGAATCTGAGCCAGGGGCATTTGTGTTTAACAAACACGTTCTTGTTTAAAAATCTTTTATGCCCAGAGATATTTTGAGTTTAGTGTCACAGTGCTTTTCCTCTACAAAAGTTGTATTATATGTATCATGCCCATGGGGTCAAAATTGATCCCACCCTGAGTGTCTCTTAGTTTACATAGACTTATGCTATTAAAACAAATTGAAAACTAAACTTCTTTGAAACTACAATGTTCAAGTCTCTTGATTAGTTTACAAGGACGTACTTAAAAGAATGTGTATAAATTTCTACTCTGAAACTTCATGTCCTGAAGCTTAGATATAGCACATGTTACATTGCCTAGTGAACTTGTACAAAAGTTATATGAATCATGGCGCTGTGGTCAAAAATCTGTGACTTAAGGTCCCATATGTTACAGTACTAGTAACTAAATATAATAGAAAACTATCTTTAATTATTTTTTTATATTTAGCAAAAAAATGTGTACTCTCGCCAATTTTTATGAAATCTTGGCTTCTTGGCAAAAAGTGGCATCTATAATGTTATATCCCATGTAATGAAGAATATGACCTTTTCCATCAACATATCTCAGATGAGCAATCTTGGTCTATCATGGCCATCTTGTTTTGATATAGGATACCTACATAGAGGATTATGAAGATGAAGAAAGTGAAGATAATGATGAGGAAGGAGTTGATAAGAAGCATGAAGAATGTAATGAGGAGAAAAGAGCTTATATTAAGCGTAAAGGAAATAACGATGAGCAGGGATGTGAGATTAAGCATGAGGATTGTAATGAAGAGAAGAGAGGTAATATTGAGCATAAAGAAAGTAATGATGAACAAGATGAAGATAAGGTTGAAGAAGAAAGTAATGATGATGTGTCAGAGGCAAGTTGTGAAACATCTAATTCTGAGGTACGACTTCTGATTGATCAATTTTTATTGAAATATTGTCTGTTATACTTCCTTTTTTGTAAGGCCACACACATCATAGGATATAACATGTTAGTTGAGTTATAAAAGTAGTCACGTTAAAGCGGCCTTCAATTTTTCTAAAGGTTGAATATGTAATTAATCACGTTAAAGGGGCCTTCAGCTTTTCTTAAGTTTTAATATGTATTTTTTGGAAAAATTGTTTTATATAATTGTCAAGTCAAAAGAATTAAGGTGGAAAATGAAATTTGCTGTTGATAAAATACGTAAACAGTAAGGTAACACTCGATATCCACTAATCTATATCTGTCCGCTCTTTATATTCAAATTAGTAAAGTAGACAATTTGTTTCAAGATTTTCTATTTTTGAACGTCACAGGTGCATTTTGAATAGCTATTGGGACGCTGTTTTAAAGCAGGCTTAACAGTGATATGATGCACTTTTCCAAGAAAGAATTATTATACCCCCACAAACGAAGTTTAGGGGGGTATATAGGAGTCAGCTTGTCGGTCGGTCGGTCGGTCGGTCGGTCGGTCGGTCCGTCCGTCCGTCGGTCGGTCCACATCATGGTTTCCGGACGATAACTAGAGTTTGGAATGAGGTATTGTAATCAAACTTGGTATATAGCAACCTTATGTGGAAACTCTGGTTGGTATTGCATTTGGACCCCCTGGGGTCAAGGTCAAGGTCACTGTTACTAAAAATAGAAAAATGGTTTCCGGACAATAACTAGAGTTAGGAATGAGATATTGTTATCAAACATTGGCGTATAGCAAGCTTATATGAAGACCTTGGTTGGTATTGCATTTGGGCCCCCTGGGGTCAAGGTCAAGGTCACCGTTACGAAAAGTAGAAAAAAATGGTTTCCGGACACATAACTTTTGACTTAGGAATGAGAATACTGTAATCAAACTTGGTGTATAGCAAGCTTATATGAAGACCTGGGTTGGTATTGCATTTGGACCCCCTGAGGTCAAGGTCACTGTTACTAAAAATAGAAAAATGGTTTCCGGACAATAACTAGAGTTAGAAATGAAATATTGTTATCAAACTTGGCGTATAGCAAGCTTATATGAAGACCTTGGTTGGTATTGCATTTGGGTCCCCTGGGGTCAAGGTCAAGGTCACCGTTACGAAAAATAGAAAAATGGTTTCCAGACAATAACTTGACTTAGGAATGAGATACTGTAATCAAACTTGGTGTATAGCAAGCTAATATGAAGACCTGGGTTGGTATTGCATTTGGACCCCCTGGGGTCAAGGTCAAGGTCACCGTTAAGAGAAAATAGAAAAATGGTTTCCGGACAATAACTAGAGTTAGGAATGAGATATTGTTATCAAACTTGGTGTATAGCAAGCTTATATGATGACCTTGGTTGGTATTGATTTTGGCCCCCTGGGGTCAAGGTCAAGGTCACCGTTACGAAAAATAGAAAAATGGTTTCCAGACAATTACTTGACTTAGGAATGAGATACTGTAATCAAACTTGGTGTATAGCAAGCTAATACAAAGACCTGGGTTGGTATTGCATTTGGACCCCCTGGGGTCAAGGTCAAGGTCACCGTTAAGAGAAAATAGAAAAATGGTTTCCGGACAATAACTAGAGTTAGGAATGAGATATTGTTATCAAACTTGGTGTATAGCAAGCTTATATGATGACCTTGGTTGGTATTGCATTTGGGCTCCCTTGGGTCAAGGTCAAGGTCACCGTTAAGAAAAATAGAAAAATGGTTTTCAGGACAATAACTAGAGTTTGGAATGAGATATTGTAATCTTATTTGGTGTATAGGAAGCTTATATGAAGATGTGGGTTGGTATTGCATTTGGACCCCCTAGGGTCAAGGTCACCGTGTTACTAAAAGAAGAGTTAGGAATGAGATTTTGTAGTCAAACTTGGTGTATAGCAAGCTTATTTCGAGACCCCAGTTGCGATTACAATTAATTGAAATATTTCTTTGTACACAGTTGATAGTTTGTGTTCAAATTTTTCTTCAGACTACTTTTTTTTCAAAAAGTTAAAGTTGCTGGTGGGGGTATTAATCACCTTCAGTGATAGGTCTAGTTGAAATACTTAGTTTGAAACAACAATGAATTGTTTTCCAAATAAAAATGAAAACTGAAGGCAGCTTTAATGTAGTTTAATCATATTCTGATATTCTCTTGTTTGCATCTAGGTAATGTATCCATCTTATGCTCATGAACATCTTTGCATGTTTTATCAGATAAAATGAATGCTTTTAATTTGAACTTGTAGATATGGAAAGTTCAGGGAATTTCTAAATTATAATTCAAAAACTACTGAGTAACTTGATCAAGAAAAGGTGGGAAATAAGATTTTTCTATTTTTAGCTCCTGTGACCTAGTTTTTCATCCGAGATGACCGATGTTCAAATAAAGTTATCAATTTAATATAGTTCCTGTGCAATTGTTGATTATTGTGTTAGATAATGGTGTATTTTTCAGTGTGACAGTAGTGATGAGTCAGAATCAGGTTTCGAGTCCGACAACCCAGCCTGTCCTCAAGGGAACAAACAAAAAAGAAGAAAAATAATAGTATGTTTATTATTCTAATATTGTATTCTTATTCTTACAGTGCTCATGTACAAAAACACTGCCGACACGATAAAACGCGCCATGTTATAACCCTAATCTTAGTATAACGCTCATAGGTCACCAAAAAAAATCGTATTTTTTGCTGATTATAATTTTTTTCATGTATATTTATAAAAGGCCTTATGTGCTATAATGCTTGTTCAATGTGTCAGTCAAGTACAATAAACTATTGAAATACGGACTATCATGAGTGCAGAAGGTTGATTAGTCAGATATCAAAATGTTATAAAATCCCAAATCTGAGACTTGTGATCATTTTAATATATGTAAGCTTAAGTTGTGTCCATTAATTAATCAATTTATTAACTAATGGGCACAACTTAAGCTGGAAGCTTTTACTACAACTGTAATGGCTAACTGAGCTTACAATTTTGACTTCTGTTGCCTTTCAAAAGTTTTCTAACTTTTCTGCTTCATTGAAATGTAATTAGTAAAATTTGGCAAAATGATAATTATTGTTTTAGAGAACAAAATTAATGTTTATACTCATTGAAGGGTAAGTAAAAATCATTAGCTTTTTATGTGATGGCCATGGATGTGCTAATGGGATAATTTTAACAATAAGTGTCATATGTCAGAACCTCGTTATAATACAGTACCCAAGCATGAGTATTATACCAGGGTTGCTGTGTAAAATCATGGTACAAGCTCTATAATAACAAGTATTAAATATACCAATTTCTTGTATATATTTGGCCAACTTTGTTCTAGTTAATAATAAAATAACAATGTCTCGTATACATGTATACATGTGTATCTGGCCAACTTTGACAGTTCCAGTTAATAGTGAAATACTTATTTCTTGTATATATCTGACCAACTTTGTCTATTCCAGTAAATAATGAAATATTTGAGAAGCACAAAGTACATGTATTAGAGATTTAATCGTTGGCACTAGACCATATTGGCACATATATCATCTATATTTTAAATTAAGATTTGTTAATCAAAATCCTGTTATTGTCAGGTTTATTTCAAGTGGAATTGATATACTTTGTCAATATTTCTAGGACTGTCTAGATGAGGAGCTGCCAACATATCGTATCATGAAGGTAAATTCAATTTTTTTTAGTCCTTTTAAAGGCCAATAATGCCTCAAAAATGCTTTTATTTAAAAAAATATTTTTATGCCCCCATTTCGAAGAAAAGGGGGTATATTGCTTTGCACTTGTCGGTCCGTCGGTCCGTCGGTCCGTAGACCAAATGGTTTCCGAGTGATAACTAAAGAACCCTTAGGCCTAGGAACTTCAAACTTGGTATGGTGATTGGTCATGACAAGTAGATGACCCCTATTGATTTTGGGGTCAAGGGGTCAAAGGTCAAGGTCACATTGACCTTGTAAGCAAAAACGGTTTCCGATCAATAACTAAAGAACCTTAAGGCCTAGGAACTTCAAACTTGGTATGGTGATTGGTCATGATCAGTAGATGACCCCTATTGATTTTGGGGTCAAGGGGTCAAAGGTCAAGGTCACATTGACCTTGTAAGGAAAAACGGTTTCCGATCAATAACTAAAGAACCTTAAGGCTAGGAACTTCAAACTTGGTATGGTGATTGTCATGATTAGTAGATGACCCCTATTGATTTGGGGGTCAAGGGGTCAAAGGTCAAGGTCACATTGACCTTGTAACAAAAACGGTTTCCGATCAATAACTAAAGAACCATTAGGCCTAGGAACTTCAAACTTGGTATGGTGATTGGTCATGATCATAAGATGACCCCTATTGATTTTGGGGTCAAGGGGTCAAAGGTCAAGGTCACATTGACCTTGTAAGGAAAAATGGTTTCCGATCAATAACTAAAGAACTTTAAGGCCTAGGAACTTCAAACTTGGTATGGTGATTGGTCATGATCAGTAGATG